GCGCCCCCGCCCCCGGTCCCGGCCTACGGCGGGTAAGTGGGCCAGCCTCTTGGCGGGCCTCCCTGCACCAGCCCTCCCTCCCTAGAGGCACGGAGCTGTTTGCGAGTGCATGATGGTCTTGACCGCCCCACCAGAACCGCCCCCAGCATGCAGCGCGCGCGCCTGCCGTGGAGCACCTTGCAAAGAGTATTGAAAAATGAGTGTAATTTGTCCTGTCATGGTTGGTGCCTTTAAGCATTCTACATGTCACATGTTGTTATGTAAATTCTCTTTGAGACTGAATGCTGGAGAACAGAGAAATGGTTACAGCCAAAGATGTATTTCCGATGATTGCAAACATCTGGTTATTAAGGAGGTTGGACCACATTTGCCCCTTGAATTCCTCCACGGAGAGACGTGAGGTTTTCATACATAAAAATCACTGGGGTGGTCTTGATCCCCTCCCCAAAGACATTTGGCACTTCAAGGTTTATGAACCTAGATGAGAAAATTAGGTGTTGAGTCAAATGCAAACATTCAAGAGTTCGATAAAATTGGAATTAAGATGTGTTCTAGTTGAGTTTTCCAAAAATGGCATTTATCATCCATTCTCCTCTGTGGGGAAGATGCAAATTGATGTGCTTCCCATTGCTGACTTGGTCCTTCTGCACAGGGACTTTGCTATTGCTGAGTGAACATCAAGGAATAGCGGTGGATGCTCAACACCAACAACACAGTGGTACTGGCCTCGGTGAATCCTGAAATGGTATCCCACCCCGCTACCCCTGCTCTTCTGTTGGGAATCTGCTAGGCAGGACTTTCCTGCACCCTGGAGACAGGGACAAGCAGCCCTAGACCGGGGAACATTTGTAAGGTTTAGAGACATTTTAGGTTGTCACAGCAGGATGAGGTGCTGCGGCATCTTCTGATAGAGGCCAAAGAGGCTGCTAAATATCCTAGAGTACACAGGGCAGCCCTCCCCCAGAGAATCTTTGCTCTATAGAAAATCCTGTTGCATCCAGGGAGTCTGGCATGAGGCTTCCTGGGCCAATGATGGATCTAGAGAGGCCATGACTACATTAAGGACTGTGTGGAAAGGGTTCAGTGCTTTGTGTTTATTTATTTTGGGCTCATTGCTTAGAAATCTTTTAGAAAATCTGAATTATCCTGGATCATCTCTTTATTAGACCAATGACAAAAAGACACACTGTTTTATTCATTACTTAATCATATCTCACTTGTTCCAAAACAGAGTACTTGAAAAATCAACACAACTAAACAAAGTTAAGGATCTAAAAAAGAATGAAACTAGGCAAAATCATCAGCTGGGAAAATCAAAGCAAAGGAACAAGACAATGTCCATCAAGGTTCTTGCATATTCTATAGTTGCATCAGCTCTGAACTTCTTAGTAGACAAACAATGGCAAATTTTTTTCCTAAGAGATAATAGATAGTAAACCAGTATCTCTCCATCCCCCAAAAGTGCATCTGCATGTTCTCGGGCTCATGCACCTGACCATGTGAAGTAAACCATTCATAGTGTTATCTTTGTCTCCTGCCTGCAGCAGCGAGCCCATTTCATAGGTCCAGAAATTCAGAAGGATTTGTGATTCCCAAGGTCACAGAATGAGTTATGAAGGGAAAAAAATAAGTTACCCTCTGAGCTCATGTAGTTACTAAACCCAGATTCATATGCCATAAATGCAAAATTGCACTTTATACCACATTAGTTTGTCTGAAAATAGTTATATTATTTCAGTACATGGCAAGTGTAGCTTTTGAGTATATATGCCCTCAGCATCTCATGACTACATTGCATGAAAAAAAATAATAAAGTAAAATTATATGGCTTATCCTCACATGAAAAATTTACAAAAATCTCAAAATAACACACCTGCTATAAAATTGAAATTTGCTAGCTTATAATGAATGTACTCTTTGCCAGAATAACCATGCATAACTAATTAATGCCACATTCACCAGGGAGAGACAGACACATTTCCAAATGGTGAAACACGTTTGTGACTACTTCAGATGAGATTTAATTCCAGTATCCAGCAATATTTATACTCATTTTGGTTATCATGGTGAATTGTACCTCTTGGTTTACAACATTAGGGCTGGAATTCTGAAATCATACTTAGACGTAAGACAGAATTCTCAACTGGGAAGTAGGAAGAGGTGCAGAAGGGCCTAGAGTGTGGAATGGTCATGTCTGCAAGAATCCAAAGAGCAACTTACTGGATAAAAAGAAAACAATTCAGCTGGCCGTCTGGTTTCACTGATGATCAATCGTGTGGAGTGCTTTGGTACCAAATGAGAAAGTGTGAACCTACCATCTTAAACAATGGTTTTCCTTTAGTTTGGATTACTTGACTTAGTCTATGGGAGAAAGCAAGGGTTAGCTCATTTTGGAAAGGAAGAGAACAGAATAGGACTCAGAGCAGAGACTGGCACAAGGAGGGTGACTTGTTCTTGTATCAAGTGGAAGCAAGTAGCCCCCTTTCATTGCTCAGAGTGACATCACCAGGATTCAGGCAGTCTGAAGACAGTGTAGATTTCCTGTAGCCTTTTGTCAAAGTTTGACTGCCATCTTTGCTCTAGCCCAGTTCAGTTCAGCATCCCATTACTTGGAAGCTGTCATGCTTCGTGCACCGTTATGTGCTGAGTTAAAGAAACCAATTGCATTGTTGGAGGAGCTCCTTCTGGTTGAAGCACTTTGTGACTTGTAAGCTAATTTCAATAAACATGGCAGGCGATAAGGAAGAGTGTGTATGAGCACTAGAAAGGGGTCCTTAGCCCTGCTTAGGTGCTTAAAGAAGGCTTCTCAGAAAAGAAGAAACAAGAGATTTTCTTCAGTCTAATCGTTTCCTAAATTGCCATGTTAATCTCCTTCTATGATTCTCTCACCACACCCAGTCATCACCACCTTTTCCTAGACATCACCTAGAAAGCTGCATTTACTAAGGAAGACCATACTTTTCCTCTCATTGCCAACTGAAGACATTTCTAACTGCATATCTAAACCTCTATTCTTTAAGTATCTGATATGAATCAATGCCACTACTAAAATTCAACCCCAAATGTGTCATTTAGTCAAGGTCTGTGTGACTTTTCTGTTTTTCCATCTTAGAGGTTGAAAACAAATATCCTGCAGAACCTCCGTAGCTATCTTCGTGGAACCTTGGGAGATCTTTGGAGATCTCTGACACCGAGAGTCACACAGAAAGATTCACTGAGGACGCCCTTACATCCATCTATTGCCTATTATTGATTTCATTTCCTCTGTGTCCTGGTATTTTCTGTAGCCCCTACTGGCAGCTAAAGGTCATAGGTGATGAGACCTCTTATATCTCCTCTTACATGTCTGTCCTTTCTAGGAGGAGACTGTTACAGACAATGGAAAGATCATAAAAACAAGTAGAAATCCCTAGTCCAACTCCCATATTGACTTCAAACCTGAACTAAAGGAAACTGGTTAGTTAGAAGTAGTTGGTGAGCTGGGTGTAGCTTCGACACAAACTGCAGAATCTTTACAATTCTACAGAGGCATGGGCTTTGGGACAGTAAGGCTGGGCCCCACTCTTCTGAACCACACTTCTCTGGGTGGCTTACTTAACCTCTATCGACATAATTTCCTTAACAGAAGAGTATAGGAAATGCCTACCCCCATAGCACTGATAGAGGATAAAATAGGTCCATGTAAAATTATAATTCAGTGAGGTCCAGCATGTGACATGTGTTTAGTAAACTACAGCTACGGTTTTTGAGCTGATGTAGTTACACAAGTTTTCTTAGCTATACATATTCTTCTCTTTCTCAGCCTCTTCTTTTGCTTGCGTTGAGCACACAGGTAGGTCCTATGTCCCTCTCTCTTTGCTGGATGGCACTTATAGTTCACAGTCCTCCATTCTCCCCAAGCCACAGTGATGGTTCAGAAAGACACACCTCCATTGTTTATGGAATATATAGAGTATAAATAAAATAATTACTGAGCAGTCTCAGAGCTGGATGGGTGAGATGGTCTATATTTTTCCTTCCATTTGATCTTGTAGTCAATTTTTTCAGACGCCACAATGTCCAGTC